TTCAGTGTGGCTATTACTGTGTACAATGTTCTTCTGGTTCTGTGCACTTCATTCAGCATCAGTCCATACAAGTCTTTCCGGGTTTTTCTGAAGTCTGCTTGCTCATCATTTCTCATAGCACAATAGTATTCCATTACATTCATATACCATAGCTTGGTCAGTCATTCCCCAATTGATGGACATCCCCTCAATTTCTAATTCTTTGCCACCACAAAAAGAGCTGCTGTAAATATTTTTGTACATGTGGTAGGAGAAGAATTCTTGATAACACTAGTGATAGAGAGGACCACAGGAGATTAAAAGGACCATTTTCATTATATACAATTGAAAAGCTTTGGATCAGTACAGTTAAAATTAGAAAGGAAAGAACTAATGAGGATCTTTGCAGCAAATTTCTTTGATAAAAGCTTGATATCCAAGATACAGAGAGAAGTTACTCAGATATATAAGAACCAGAGCCATTCCCCCAATAGATAAAAGGTCAAAGGATATAGTCAATTCTCAAAAAAAGAAAAAAGAAAAGCAAGCTATCAACAACCACATAGAATGTTCCAAATCACTAATCATGAGAAAAATTAAAGTTAGAACAACACTGAGGTTTTTACCTTACAACCATTAGATATGTAGGAATGAAAAAAACAGTGATAGTGCTATGAATTCTATGGCCACTCTGGAAAGCAATTTGGAACTATACGCTGAAAGTTGATAAAACTGCACATGTGTTTTGAGTCAGTGATAAAGAAAGAGGGAAAGGACCCATATACACAAAACCATATACAGCAGCACTTCTGATTTTAGCAAAAAATTGGAAACTAAGGGATGCGCATCATTTAGGGAATGGTCAAAAAATTATAGTATATTAATGAAAGGGAATATTATTGCATTATAAGAAGTGATGAAAGCGGCAGATTCACAGAAACATGTCAGAATTAGTATGTACTGATGAAGAGTTAAGTGAGTAGAACCAGGAAAATAATTTATACAATAATTTCAACATTGTAAAGGAAAGCAATGTTGAAAAATAAAGAACTCTGAGGAGTGCAATAACTTACCAGGTCTCCAGAGAACCAATTGATACTTCCCACCTGGTCATGAACTAGAGGTGCAGACCATGTCACTTCTTGACATGGCCAATGTGTGGATTTGCTTTGCTTATA